TTCATGGAAAATATCACATCCAAAGAAAACGAATTCCACTTTGACTGTTTGATTGCAATGTAGAAATGGAAACCGAATTTCAAGGTACAAAAACTTTAAATTGCATTTTTTTTTTGTTTTCCTATGAGTTTGACGAGTTTTTATTTTCCAACTAACATGTAATTGTGTGTGTGTGTGTGTGTGTGTGTATCATGATATGTCCGATATATTGAGCTCATGTTTGTCTGCCATTATTTTAAAAATCTTTTTTCTATGTACTAATTTTCAATTACACATTTACATGATAAAATATTATATACTTAAACCCAAAAATTCCTCTACTTTCCAACCACAAATTCTCCAAAAATTTACTATTCAAAACAATATTTGACCAAAAAAAAAACCACCAAACAGGGGCTGAATTGGACGGAACTTAATTATAAATAAGGATTCTCACACGGTCCTCAAATATTAAACTTGTTGTAGTTAGATCCCCATTCATTTTTGTATTTAGGTCATCAAACTGTCCTTTTTAGTGCACATTAGGACAAATTGACGGAAAATTGATTAATCTCTCCGTCAAACTGTCACTCGAAAGAATGAGCAGCTTAGTTTATGGGTGAATAAAAAATTCTTGAAATAATGGGAAACTGACTTTTTAAGTGACTATTTGACAGAAAGTTGAATGTTTTTTGTCCGCTCGTCCTCACTTGCACCAACAAAGACAGTTTGGGGACCTAAACGTGACAAAAAAAATGAAGGGGACCCAAGTGAGACAAGCGGTAATCTTTGGGGACCGTGGGTAAGAATTTCCCATAAAAATACAAAGAAATGATGTGCATGTATATTTTTTATTTGCTTCTCACACAAGTTTCCCCATGTCGAGATGATATTTTTCTTATAAAAGAAGATGTTCTGTAAACAGGGAATATCATCTCATCATGAAGAAAGAAGCTTCTTTAGCTCTCTGATTGCTACTAAGCATCTTAAAATTACAACTAGACAGGGAACAAAGCACGAGAGCATTTCTTTTTGTATTAGTAGTGGGATTCTCATTCACTACACCATCAACTCAATTTCATGTACACTACCCCTACAGCCATTGGACCCAAAATTCGCCTTTCCAATTCCAATTCCCCATTCCCTTTTTTTCCTGGTAAAAGTTTTTCTTTTGGGTCTGAATGCTTTGTGGGTCCCCAACACTAAGCCATCAGCTTTTCCAGATAATCAAGATGATGCTGATTATAATCTACTTGTTGTATTTCTTGATGATTCATTCTGAACTACTTCAACAGATTGTCTACACAAGGTCAGCTTTAATTCTTCCTACAACGTGTTTGCTGATATGCGTGTGTGAACATATGCTTGTCTGCTTCTAGATAATGTTATGAGGACCTGTAATTGTCCTTTTTTGATGATTGGATGGTTAGAGGTTATAGTTTCCTTTCGTTTCATGTCGAAGCCATGATTTGTATGTAATTATTTGAATATCGATCTTGATATTTGAAAATATTTGTATGTAGTGTATATATTTTTTAGACTTATTGCCATGTTTTCTGCTGATATTGAGTGAAAAATGCAGCTCCTCCATTGTTCTTGTTAATCTGCAAATGTTTACAACATCTAAATCCTTTTGTAAATATAATTAAACTAACAATCTGTTATTTGGGTAAGCTAGCTTCGAAGAAGTCAAATAATTAATGATTAGCTTCCAAGTAATGAGAAGCAGGATCCCTTAGCATGAATTTGTCAATGCACGGTACATACTTTGCCCAACAAATATTGCGATGTGAATAAATCCAAGTACGTAAGAGATCTATAAATATTTTTGTGGTGCTTGGTGCTTAAAACTGTTTACCTTTGGCAAGATTTCACATGAAGCTATTATGCCCTGGTGCGACTTCAAGTAGAGATGCTTGTTTGTTTTCTCTGCCATCATGCAACCCATCAGACATATTTAGAGAGTCGTCTTAACAGATTGAAGTTTTTTTTGTGTAGAATCAACTAAAAGAGGTGAAGGATTACGGGGAACATCTTGCTTGGAAATAGAGGAGATCACATGGCTGAATCCTATCTCTATCTAATGCTAACGGTTAATCTTCTCGTGCTCCTATCCTTGTCCAGCAGCTGTTTTGGCTCCAATAAGCCCGATGTTGAAGGTATACGGCTTGTAGACTTGTCTAGATGTTAGTTTTATCACTTTTTTTTGGTGAAGTGTACAATATGGCTTTAGATGTTTCTCAAATTTATGAAGATAAATGGTATTTGATGCTACGGGGATTCTTTGGTTCGCTTTTGGGTTTGGGTGTTAAACAAATAGACTAGAAGATTAGGCATAGACAGAAGCCTTATGATAAGATCTATTCACCAATACAAATTTTACAATTATATGAAAAACTAAAAAAATAAAGAAAAAATCAGGTAATGGATTGGGTTCTCTTGTTCGCCTTTGAGCCCCAACAACTCACCAGAATTCGATTTAGAAGACAGGAATTTAAACTTTTATCACTAAACCGGACCAAACCATCCTGGTCATTTCTTCTGGTTCCAGGAAATTTTTCCCTTTCCTATTCCAATAGCCAATTACAAGTATTTTGTCTGAAAGAATAATGCTTCAATTACTAACATTTTCAGTTTTTGTTCCATGATCCATGCTAGTAGAATTTATCTTATTGCAGTCATTATTTTCCACGCATCAACTGCAGAGTATATAAATGTGATATTAGCTGCCAAAAAAAAAACTGTACAATTAGTTGTTTTTGGTATTATCTACATCAGAGATTCAAATTAGAGTATGCACGGTGTTCAGCAATTAGAAGTGGGGTTGTCTCCACATCTTATAGAATGACTGTTAATATTGCTACAATGACCATTTTTGTTTCAGAACAATGCAATACTAAAATTCTAAATATTATCAGTTGAAGCAATATAAAAGTAAATTACTAGATAATCTATGCATAAAAGTTAGCTAATATAGAGAAAAATTAGAAATTTTTACCTGAAAGACACACGGTATCAATTGTTTATTGTAGTTTTATCATTCTGATGAATGAGCTTTTTTCCTTTTCCATTGATATTTCAGGTGAAGCTTTAGTTGAATTTCGAACAGCTCTGAAAGACTCAAATAGTAAAATTGCAGATTGGAACTATAATTTTGTCAGCCCCTGTTTCAGTTGGTCTCATGTTACATGTAGAAATGGAAACGTGATATCCTTGTTAGTATTAAATTCTCTTTTTCTTCATTCAAATAAATGGTTTCACTTTTCCTGTTCCCTATTCCATAATGAAAGGACGGAATTGAACTTAGTCATACAGCTTCTTTCAATTTACTGGTGTTTTGTTTGTTAATGCATCAACTTGGAGGAGCCTGGCTTCAAGTGGATTTTCTGGAACTCTTTCACCAGCAATAACAAAATTAAAATATCTGGTTAGCTTGTAAGTATCGTTGTTTCTCTTTTTCCTTTTTGCGAAATGTCTCCCTTGTGCTCTTCTTCCAATCATTAGAAAATCTTTCAATCCTTCACTGTCTTTTGTTTTCACTCTTTTCACTTTTTTTTCTCCGGAGAGGGAGGGGGGAGGAGTTTTGGGAAGCCCCAACTTGCATGTCAGCATATTAATTGAGAACTGATTTTTTACAGCACGCATCAATGAAAATTCTATTATTTTGGGTCTCTATACATGTTTGCTTTCGATATTATTCAAGGCTTAAAGAATTTATCTCTTCAGAAAAGCATTATAGCGAAAATATTCTTAAGCAATTGTTTCTTAAATTTCTCACCTTTAGTACATGGTTCAACATTCTGTTTATTTAGCTCACCAAGCATCTTACCCTAATGTAGCCACAATGTGGATGTGACAAGGAAACGTGGCCAAACTAGAATGGGCAAAATAAGAAATGAGGAATATGATAACAGTTGAGGGTGACAATAATCCAGGATAAATCTTGCATAGACATGAAGAAGCTCTGTTTCATAAAAGTGATGCAACCAACGTGTGGATTAGGAAGAGATTGACTAGAATTAGTATGGGATGATTGCAGAAGAGTTGATTTTATTGAAGTTTTAAATGGATACATCGCTGAATTGAGTGGAATGGTGAAACTGATTTGCGTAGCCAACTCCAAGTGTATAGGGAACTAAAATTTGCTAGTTGTGTAGCAGATTAAGAAACCGCAAGGATAATTTTGAGCCATAAAGATCTCTTCTGGGATGTCGTTCTGTGCCTAGTTATTCATTTGGAGATATAGCTTAGGTGATCTCATTCTGTGCAGGGATCTACATGATAATAATCTTTCAGGTCCATTGCCTGATTTTCTTCGAAGCATGTTGAATCTGCAGAATTTAAATCTGGCATACAATAACTTCAATGGCTCCATTCCAGCAGCTTGGGGTCAACTTTACAACCTGAAACATTTGTAAGTCTATGCAGGCAGGCATTAAAAATTTAGCACTTTTAATTTACAAGGCGTTCTCTTATTTCTTTTCCATGTGATACATGTTATCTAATTTAAGGCTATATCTTGTTAGAAGTCTTATTCTTAAGCGTCTATGTACTGAAGTGACAATTTTGGAACTCTGCATCAATCAGGGTGATGAATGCTAATCACTTGAGTGGACCTATCCCAGAATCGCTTCTAAATATCTCGGGCTTATTGGAACTGTAAGAAGTCTCTATGCATTTCTTCACTGTCTTAGTGAATGTTCTTCGAGGGGCACTCTATCTTCCCCGTGTTTATACTACTAGTGGAATTTTCCGCTTGCAGGAATCTTTCATCCAACAATTTGTCAGGAAGAATTCCTACAGAATTGTTTTCAATGCCCAGCTTTGAGTAAGTTTTTTCTTATTTAGCCCCTGTTTGATCCACATTATTTTTTTTCATTCTCATTCTTCTACTCATTTTCAACCACACATCCTTCAATAAAATAATATTTTCCATCACATCAATAACTTTTCCTTCTTTTTCAACCACAGATTCTCCATCAATCTACTTTTTTTCATCACATCAATAATTTTTCCTTTTTTTTTTCAACCACATATTCCCCATCACATCACTTCAAAAAAATGCATTCTCTCATTTTAAAGAGCACTAAATAGGCTCTTAATGTTCTTCAAATCTTTAATTTTATTGTAGAACCAGAAATTTGGGAACAGTAACACTCTGTCAGATCCTAACAACTGCATGCTAAGCTAGTACAGGTGTCATGAAATTTTTCTAGCTTTCTTGCCTTTTTGTTAAATTTTATTTCAATTAAGTCTCAAGGAAGCTTAATATCATGCTTCTCCATATCTTGCTCAAAAGGAATTCTTGTTCTTTTCATTTTTCTGTCAAAACTGTGAAATATTGGGCTTGTTGGGATTCTGTGGTCATCGTGGGCCCATAATTTTGTTATGCTGGTTAATTTGGAAATTATCATGATTAATGAAGTGTGATTATGGAATGTTTCAAAGGTACTGGAACATTTATATGGCATGCATTAGAATATGGATTTTTTTTTTTTTGACGTATGACTTGATTTTTGGAATGCTATGAACATTAACTTGAAGTATGAACTAGAAGTAAGATTGTAATCTTAGAGGAAAGAATTTTAGAAAAAGCTCCTGGGATGAATTTTTGAGTGATCTCGTCCATGATGACATACAGCAGAAAAAGTGAGGATTAGAATAGATTCTAGTTGGTAAGTTAATTTGTTGTCTACATCAATTTGAGCTCTATTAAGACCTGAAGTTGTAATCTTATTTTTGGTGCCACCGTTTGTTCATTTCTGTTTTATGCGTCACGCATCAGCTTCACAGGGACGCATCTCACATGTGGAAACAATTTCCAGCACCCATGTGTTCCAAATCCCTCCACCCGAGGTTTTGTTTATTTCTGTGGAATTCTCAGTTTTATTTGAATATTATTCTTCTTGTGGAGAAAATAACAGAAACTGACTCCAGATATCAATGCAGTTTCTGCTAAAAAATCAAAATTTGAAGTTGCTATTAGCGTAGCAAGCATATGTGCATTTGCTCTCCTGTTAATTGGGGCTGTCTTTGCCTACCGATTCCATCTGGTGCATAAACTGAAACCTGATGTATTTGTTGATGTGGCAGGTAAAATTTTCTTCTAATTTTTATATGATATTGATGCGATTTTATCCTTTTTGAGTACACAACATAATATATGAAAAGATTGCCCTGAGAGCCTGAGGTATTGGCTCTCTACACGTTTGTTGATGTCAAAGTTAATCATGAGTTGAACTATTTCAAGTATTTCCTACTCTTCCTAATCCATTGAAAGGGAATATTGGAACTTCATCTTCTGATGCACAGGAATCAAAGACTCAAGTAAACAAAGAAACCAGTCTATTGGTGGTTCGATTCCTTAATTGGTGTGTGCATTTGTATATTTGTGTATTCCAAAATTTTCCATCCTTCTCACTGCTGGGAGTTATCTGCCACTCCTGTTTTGAGTTGATGATTATTATAGCTATCTGCATCCACTTTTCTGAACCCTGTAGTACAATTAGAGAGATTATTCTGAACTCCACTTGGATTGATGTATGGCTCATATTTTCAATTAGGTGAAGATGAGTGCAAAATTTCATTTGGACAACTCAGAAGGTTTTCCTTGCGGGAAATACAGCTAGCGACAGAGAATTTCAGTGAAAGAAACATTATTGGACAAGGGGGCTTTGGAAAAGTATACAAGGGTATCCTTTCAGACAACACAAGAGTTGCTGTGAAACGCCTTATGGATTATCGTAGTCCTGGTGGAGAGGCTGCATTTTTACGGGAGGTTCACTTGATAAGTGTTGCAGTTCACAAAAACTTGCTTCGGTTAATTGGGTTTTGTACAACCCCTACGGAGAGAATTCTTGTTTACCCATTTATGCAGAACCTCAGCGTTGCATATCGCTTAAGAGGTACTCTCACGACATTCAACTTGAGTTGCCTTTGCTACTCCATATGCCCAAAATAGCTGTTGCTAACAATATCCCGCAAAAAAGACATTCTATATCTTCGTGATAATCATTATAGCAAGATTGAAATTAATAGTATTTAACATGTTCTGCATCATTCCATCACCTTTAGCTGCAAGATGAATATATTTAGAGAATAATACTCACTATACTTCAAGACACTTCATGGCGAAGGGAACGATTTTGCATATTTTGGAATTCTTTAGTCACTTTTATTTATTTCTTATCTTATACATGTCATAAATGTGAGTTAAGTGCTTCACTGAAAAATTAAAATCTTTTGAGTATGATAGATTTAAAACCCGGAGAGAAAGGCCTGGACTGGCCAACAAGAAAACGGATAGCTTTCGGTGCAGCCCGTGGCCTGGAGTACCTTCACGAGAATTGCAACCCTAAGATTATTCACCGTGATTTGAAGGCCGCAAACATCCTTCTAGATGATGATTTTGAAGCTGTCCTGGGAGATTTTGGATTAGCAAAACTAGTGGACGCAAACCTCACACACATTACCACTCAAGTACGTGGAACAATGGGACACATTGCCCCTGAGTATTTGTCTACGGGAAAATCTTCTGAAAAGACGGACGTGTTTGGATATGGTATTACTCTGCTGGAACTAGTAACTGGTCAGCGTGCAATAGATTTCTCCCGGCTTGATGAGGATGAGGAGGTTTTGCTGCTGGATCACGTAAGTTCTGTTTCATTATTTTTTGGAATTAAATTTTGCAAAATCGTACTTTATTTGTTACTTCTTGTATTTGTGCTGGTTCAAAAGTTATATATATTTCAAGAAATGTTCCATTTTGGAAATATCTGAATTTGAGTTTGTCGTGAAAAGTTACACCTACATCCATATGTTTGTAGAGTTTTGGCCAAAAGATTTCTAGTCTGAAGGTTCTCGTTGGAACATAAAGTTTGCACCCACACCCACAATATTTGATAATTGGGTGGCAATGGGACTTGAATTCTAAACTTTTGCACGCTTTGATACGATGTTGAATAGCCTCCAATAAAAGCTTAATACGGAGAAGTCAACTTATTTATTAAAATTGTCTTCAACACTTGTATCCTCTTTGTTGTTTTACATTTGGATACTCTTATTCTGCTTGCCCTATTCTTCCTGGTCATGATATATACCCAATACTAAGCGACTTTCTACAACTATTTTGATGTAATTCTAGATCAAAACATTACTAAGAGAGGAAAAGCACAAGGACATTATTGATGAGAACTTGAACAGTTATGATCTCGAAGAAGTCAAGACAATTCTCCAAGTTGCTATGCTTTGCACCCAGAGTTTACCAGAAGATCGTCCGAGAATAGCAGATGTTTTGAGCATGATGCAGGGAGTGGGTTTGGCCGAGAGATGGGCTGAGTGGGAACAACTTGAAAAAGTAAGATATCAAGAATTTTCCATATCGTCCCACCAGTTTATTTGGGCTGAAGATTCTACTTATGGCCAAGAAGCTATACAGTTGTCACAAGCAAGATAGAAGTTTTTTAACGTTAATAGCCGGGTGTTGTATGATTCAGTTCAAAGTTTTAGCTTTGAACGTAGTTAATATATACTATGAGTATTTGTCCATATCCATTATCAAGAATTTTCAGGTTTACCCAATATATATATATATAACGAGGTTAATAACTTATACATTTTTTGTTATCTTATTCATTGCCTTATCCTTTATAACAAATGAATTGAACAGTGTCCTTTCATGTTTGGCGGTTGAAGGCTTATTATTTCATTATTGAGGGTTAGAATCAGTCTTCTTATGACACAAACTGCAAAGAGCATGAATATTTGAACAAAGTTTTTGTTGAACAAATGTGACGATGTAGGTCTCATCTCCTCGCTATCTAGTTGTGAAGATGATTAATTTGTTAGGCATTTGATAGGAAAGTAAATTCAACTTGTAACTTCAAGTAATGTTGAATATTTATCTCCTTTTTAGCCCTTGTTTGTTTCTCATTTTTCATTCATAAAAATGAAAAATATGATCGTTATCCATTATATCAAACCATCAATTTTGATTTCTATCTCTTGTGTGGGGCTCAATAACGACTATATTTTTCATTCTCATTTTACAATAATGAGAATCAAACGGACCCTTAATATATAAAACTTATTAGAGGAACATGTTTTGAATTTCGCATTTCATATGAAATTTCACAATAAATTCATACATTTGACTATTAAAATTAATTTTTAAATAAAATTAGACCTGACCATTAGTTAATATTATCATTTCCACTCAATTTTGTTATTTGTCTAAATTTTTTGAAACGAAACCTATCAAACATACTAAACTTTTTAAGATAAGTTTTGAGTATTTGTTTGCGTTTCATTATAAGAACATGTCTGGCTAAGTATAATAAATTGTTTATAATTGATTAAACAATTTTTTATTCAAACATTTCGTGAAATTTATCAGTATTTCCAATTCATCGGTTATTTATTTATATCCATTTACAGGTTAAACCATTTATAAATATTTCTCATATACGCTTAAGTTACTAAAATCATAAAAGGATAGAAATCAAATGAGTAATTGATAAGCGGAATTGTGTGATTAAAATGAAAGTTTGACTTTAATATTTTTAAGGGCAAACAACCACTTGGAGACTTTTAACAATACTAGTTTTACACCCGTGCAATGCACGGGTTATGGTATTTTTAAGGTAATATTAGCGTCTTGAATGTTAAGATTAGATGGAAAATTGTATTATAAAATTTCATTACTTACATTTGTATAAAAGAAATAATGTTTCATAAAAAACGCTTGTTTTCACTGTCTTAGAAGTACATAAAGACTTATACATTAAATCAGGTTTTTGACTAAACTCCACTTAATTCAGAGGTCAAATAACCAAAGCACATATGCAATCACTTTATTATAAAAGTAAAACATAAATTAAACATATGTAAAAACAATCAAACCCCGACCTTGACATTTCTAGTCAAGAGGAGAGCCAACGATAGTGACTGAAGAAACGGGAATTAACATAAGCCTCAATTGAATATCAATTGATGCCAATTTCTCCAAATTCTTACTGGTCATAAAATTTTTCACTCTTTTTTCTTGAACCCAAATTTTGAATCCGAAAATGGACTGAAATAAGGAAAGACCTTGCAAAAGGTGAGAAAAGACAGCGACAATCACGAATTTGATAGAAATCAAAGTGAAAGTAAATTTTGATCCCGACCAACAAAGTTACATTGAAAAAAGAAATATCTAAAATATTAGCCAAACAAAAGAAAACAATAGGGATGCAGCTCGTGCAAAAAGGGATTACATTTGAAAATGATGATTTTTTTTACTGTTTCTATGGGTCCACAAATTGAAACTTTTGTGTAAAAGTTCTCGACACAAAACAAAACTTAAATGTAACATGGTTAGTACTTAGAAAGTTCTCTGGTTTAAGGAGGAAACAACTTTCAATGCGGTTCCGACATTAAAAGAAAGCGATTTAGTAGATTAGTACTATCAGTGAAGAATTTATGCGGTTAATTCTCCCAACAACCTAATTAAAAAAGTAATACTTTGCCTTAGTTTCAGTCAAAACATTATGTTAACCATTGAACCAAGTTGTAATTGTAAATTACCATAGAACCAAAATTCCAAAAAAATGGAACACTGTATGCTAATAACCTAATCAATTAATTCTAGGTTTGTCACCCGCGCGCGCACGGGGAGTTTCATTTCTCCCCGTGCGCGCACGGTTCTCCCCCGTACGTTTCGTCCCTTTTTCACTTTTATTTGTTCTTATGTTACAATGATTTTTTTTCCTCTACTTTAATATAAATCCAGGTATATTTTTCGAGGAGTTTTTTCCGCAAATGTCTTCAACTGTAATGCAAACACTGCATTTTTCTCTGTGTTAATTTTCTGGTTTCCATAGACAAAATGAACTAATACTAATAGAAATATTTTGGAGAGTGGAACATCTATTTAAGAAGATAACTAGGATGCATTTAACCTAATAAAAATATGAACATACAAAAACATGGCTGAACAGAAATGACGAAGGTAGATACAGATAAGCCAAGCAATCAAAGATTAGGTGACCAACAATAAAAGAAACAAGTACTGCAGACAATAATAATATGAAGAAAGTCCGATGGAAATATTTATAAGCATAATTTTTAACAAAACAATTGTATATAAATACTAAACATGTAAAACTAAGAGAACGATACATAACTTTTACATAAATACTTACATTGAAAAACAATTAAGCGTAAGAAAATCTCAGGTTTGTGTGCTGAAAGACCAGTTTTCTTATTCCTACAAGCTTAAAAGGACGATAATGGAGCACAATAAATAATTTCAGAATTTCTTATATTTGTAGAAGTTAGAGAAGACGATGATAAATTTTTCTTCCTATGATAAATTTTTCTTCCTATATATATACTTCTCCAACCACCGCCTTTCACTGTCGCCTTCAACTGCCTTTAATGCAAAGGAAAGAATAAGAAAAATGCAGCCACCGCCTTCAACTGTTTCTCTACTGTTCACAACGTGGATTCCAGCTACACACGAGGTAAAATATCTACGTTAAAAGCAAGTTGTAGTTTCAGTTTAGTTCAAAGCAAATTAATGGATGATAAAGTGGCGCAGCGGGTATTTCAAGAAGGTGGGCACGATTTCTACCAATAGCAGCCTTCCACTTCCTATTCTTCTTCATCCATTCTCCAATTCATTCCTCTACACGTGGTATGCTTTTTTGGTTTGCTGAATTTCACGTTTATTCATCTCCCACCGTTTCGCTATTTTAATATAGTAGGGAAAACAAAAATTAAATTTTAACATTTTCAATATGAATAATTAAAATTTGTATTGTGATTAAAATTTTGATGACAATTTAAGAAATTTAATGTATTTGTAGTTGTAAATTTGGTAGGTGGATTATGAATATTATCCTTTTTCTGTTTCATAATATTAATTTCGTACGGAAGTCAACAGATGTGGCAAAGAAAAAGTTTATGTTACCCCATTTTTTTTTTTAAAATCGGCTACTTTTTTTATGAGAAAGAGGAAGTCGGTTTGCAGAAGTTCAGTAGGCAAATTTTTTGGACATTTCATCGCCTACATTCTTTACTCCGGAAAGAGGAAAGAGAGGGATAAAATGGGAAAAGTAAAATATGCCTTGAATGAATAGTAACATGCGGATTGCCTCTTTTATATTAGTATTAAAGAAAAAAATAAATAAATAAAAAAAATCTACATTCAAGGTATTTTCATCACGCGATTCTCACGTGATCTAAAGATTCCAAACCATCCCCTATAAATATCTGACCTTCCCAATACTGGCGGGAATATCGCTCACATTTCCCTCCCAAAACCCACCACCACCACAACTCATGGGCACCAATGGCAACACCCGGAAACGCCCAGCGCCGCCAACTCCGGCGCCGGCGACACCGTCACCCCAGCAGAAGCAGCGCACATCCATGGAAGAAGAGGAGTTCGATGAAGACGTGTTCCTCGAGGAAACCCTTCTTCAGTACGAAGAGGAGGACTCGCAGCGCCGCGCCCTCTCCGAGCGTCTGGGGAAGTGGAAACGTCCTGCGCTCTCTTCATCATACATCAATCAGTCTCAGAACATTAGTAAGTGATGAACTAAAACTCAGAACACTTCAATTCCGCTGCTGCCAATGTAACATGCGCTCCAATTCTTTTACCTTCCTCACAAGGGGGATTGGGGAGAGGTATGGGCTTAGGGTTTTAAAATTGGGGCTTTCTGGAACTTGTACGATCACTGAAGCATAATGGTCACAATCGACTCGCTAATCTCGCACTAACATTTTAGATCGATATAATAGGGCAAGGTACAACCTTTGAAGCATATCCTACATGACATATAGTCGTATTTTCCCCTTCAATTTCCATACCCTTTTCTAGTGGGTTTTGCTGGAACTGCTAATATTGACTTTGTTTAGAATCAAATAACGATTAGTTGCATTCCCTGATATCGCCAATTATAACCTTTTCATACCCTTTTCGGCGAGCAATCCATTTTACCCCTTTTTTTGTATTATTGTCCCTTGATATCGCCGATTATAATTGCTCCAAATGTTATATACTTTAGGGGTTTAAAGGAAAGGTTAGATTTTTTGCCGAGAGTTGTGATGGGATTTGTGATGTAACTTTTTTATCATTTATTTTCAAGTATTTCAACAGTTGGAGATTGACTATGTGATTGGTGATAGCCACAAAGAATTGCTGTCAAACTCTTCAGGTCCAGCTGCAATTATCAGGATATTTGGGGTAACCAAGGAAGGTTCGCTCTCTCAATCTCTCAACTACTCTATAACGTGCAACAAATTTAACTTTTTAAAGTGAAGCATAATTTTAAACTCATAAAATATTCAGATAGGTACAGCAGTTACATGTGTGGAAATTAATCTTAATGGGGGGAAAACTAGGTTTCATTTGCATCTGGTGATGAAAAGAGTTGGCTTGAAGAAGAGATCATAGCACTTTGAAATTTGAAGTTGAAATTTCTGTGCAGGTTAACCAGTGTACGAAATCAGACAGTGCTTGTTACTATTCTGAAAGTTAGAGATGCAGCTACGCTTTCATCTAGTATAATGGTTGTTCTTGTTTAATATTCCAGCATATAAGATCAAATTAAAGATCTAAGTTGTGAATAATTTCTTTTGGTTCACAAAACAATCTGATGCTAAGGGGAGGGTATTCAATCTAGACTTTTTAAGACTATAAAAGTCTTGGGTATTCAATATGGAGTTTTTAAATATCCTTAAAAGTCCTAAGGTATTAATCCGTGATGCTCGGACTTGGCATTTGGGCTGGCATACATATGTCTACGCGATGCGACATGGGTATTGGTAGAAATACGGGGCGAGTCCTTCAATTTTTAAGTCGACACGGAAACCTAGGAAGGCTGACCATGGAGGCGCCACCGCGAAGAAACCGATAATGAACATAGAAAACTTGCCAGCTGTGAAACTTAATCTGTTGAAGGACATAAACTTAATATGTTTTAAGAAGAATTGAAGGTGTGTGGGCGGCTGATGAGTGTGGATTGAAGAAGAATTGTAGAAGCCCTAATTTGTTGAAGAATATGCGAAGAGCCGTTTTTGGCTATATTGAAAATGAAAGAAATTAATTGGCTCGCAATTACCATTTTACCCGAATTCAAGAACAAAAATACTTTTGAATCACATTAATTTACCATTTTACCCTAATGAAAAGTCAAACTTGTAAAAGAAGCCAAATCTCTTTCTTTTCCATTAACGTGCAAGACACTTTTAAAATTAAAAAAGGATGTGACATCTTTAAATTATAAAATTAAAAAGATTTTATTTTAATCAACTTTTTACATGTGGTTTTTTGTTGAAAAAAATTAAAGTTTGAAAGACGTATCCACATATCCGTGTTCGAAATTCGGACTCTTTGTAGTGTTGTCCACATATCATACATTTTAGCAAATAAAAGATCCGACACTTAGATGTGTACTCTTACCCGATGCCCCGTACCCCGAGTCCAAGTATCATAGGCATTAATGGTTCATTTGACATGGCTTTTGAAAAGATAAAATGAGCTTTTGAGACTTAAAACTTACTTTTGGACCTGTTTGACTAATTTTATGAAAGTGCTTTTGTCAAAAGTTTTGAGAGGAAGCTTGTCCAACGTGGCTTTCTCTAAAATCACTTTCGACATATGAAGCTCTTTTCAAAATTTGTTTCTAAACAAAAATTAAGGTAGCTTTCTTTATAAGCTCATCTACATGAAGCAAAAGCAAAAACAAAAGTAAAAATCATGCAAAACGGGGCCTCAATCAAAGACTTCTTACAAATCTTAAAAAAGTCACGGCGAATTCAAAATGTCAAATGACTTTTATAAAATTCTTAATATAAAAACTTCTAAACAGAAAGTCTCTCATCCACCTCCAAAATTTTTGAAACACTTCCACAAAAGTATATCTTTCAATCTGTAATATCTCTTTCTTCAATATTTCCCTTTCCTCCATTGTACGAACTCTTGAGCCACGATACAAAAATCAATGTTTTTCTCTATTCAACTTATTATTATTATTCTCTTTTTAGTAGTCACATTTTCTTTTTTTCTCTGCTTTTTTCTTCATTTTTACCTTTTTTCTATGGAAAAAGGATCAATTAGTAAGGTAAAAATTCTTGTAAGATTTCTCTTTCTTTTTTTCATCATTTCCTACAATATTTTTTTAACGGAAAAGGATCAATTTTAGCTAAAATTTTATGAAAAAAAGATTAATTTGTAATGAAATTTCTATGTATTGGTTGCTCGTTTAGTTTAGTAACTTTCTAAAGGTTTGTACATGTTGATAATATTGAACATAAGAGATTTTTTTTTTCTTTTCATAAAAGTGTATTGAAATGTTATAATTTTGTTTACTCTCTAATTGAGGTGGCTTATATCATTTATATTCTTTTAAAAATGCTTTTAGAAAAGAGAAATATAATTTTGTTAGTGTCATGAGAGTAGCGGTTCAGAATATTATTGCATTTTAGTCTATAAATAAATAATTCAATAAAACAGGGACGTGGAATAAGTTATATAAACATATAAGTTGATGTACAAGAATTTTTTTTGTAAACTGATAGTCTGTAAAGTGAAATTGAATTATATAGAATTCTTTAAATGGAAGTCTTTAGAGGTGTATGAAAGACTTTCATTGAGTCTATAAAAGTCAATAAAAGTTCATGAAACTCCACAAAAGTCATTTATCCCCTGTTTGGTACACATTCTTTTAAAACTCATTTTCAATTACATATTTTTCAATAAAATAATATTTTCCATCACATCAATAACTTTTCCTTATATTTTAACAACATATTTTTTATCGTATCACTATTTAAAATACATTCTTTCCTCAATAATATCCATCAAACGCACCCTTATTTAAATAAGTCTTTAAAAGTCCAAGTTGAATACATCCTCCTATGTTATTACCATGTGACTGCTGATTGATTGGGTTCTTTCACTCAAGAAAGTTAATGCTCTGGCTTCAAATAGTTGTGTTTATTCTGAATCCTGGCTGTTGGACGTGTTCATCTACCTATTGTGTTGTAATCTACTGTGCAATTAATAATAATGGTTGTGTAAGATATTTGAAGAAACTAAGTGAGTTATTTTGCATCCAGGTAGTACATAATGTCATGTGTTTTTCATTTCTAAATATTAATTATACTACATGTTTGCCAGGACATAGTGTTTGCTGTCATGTACATGGATTTGAACCATATTTCTACGTCTGTTGTCCTCCTGGAATGGGCCCCGATGATATCTCTGACTTTCATCAAGCTCTCGAGGTAGTTTCTTCAATTCAATTGAATAATTATGTATTCTTAAATAGTATACTTCCGTCTGTGACTGCGTTCACTTGTGCGGTTGCATTTGTTGTGGACATGGTTAATGCAGGGTAGGATGAGAGAAGCAAACAGAAACAGCATGGTTCCAAAATTTGTTCGGCGTATTGAACTGGTTCAGAGAAGAAGCATTATGTATTATCAACAACAGAGTTCTCAGTCCTTCCTTAAGATTGTTGTGGCATTGCCAACAATGGTCACTAGCTGCCGTGGTATTTATTTGGATTTTCTTATGCTCTGCAAAATTATATTTCTACCGTTGGTAGTTTCCCAGTTGCTTGGCATTCCTCTATTTGTGTGTTAGAGATGAATGAGAGGTCCTTATGTGTTGCCTGTAGTTGCTATCGATGCACAGTAAGTACTCTTGAATTGACTTCTTGTTTGCAGCATCATTAGATGGAGAGAATGGATATCTTTTAGATATTGTAGAAACATATGCAACGAAAGGAGAAGTGCAGATGTAGTTTTTTGATGTTAAAGGGGTTGATCATATGATCCATTTTGTTTATTTCTTATTGTTCTCGGCCCATCTAAAATGCGTATTTGGCAGGTATCCTTGATAGAGGCATACAAATTGATGGACTCGGTATGAAGAGTTTTTTGACGTTTGAGAGTAACGTTCTTTTTGCTCTCCGTTTCATGATTGATCACAACATTGTTGGTGGCAATTGGATAGAAGTTCCAGTTGGAAAGTATAAAAAGACAGCACGCAATCTCTCCTATTCCCAATTAGAGTTTGATTGCCTGTATCCTCTCACAGAAGTTGTGTAGCATCTAAGCACGGAGGCACGTACCATTTTATTTAGGATTTTATTTCTTGTAAAAATACTTTCCTTGATAATTCATCTCAGCGTTTCGGACTTGATCAGCCATGCTCCTGAAGGGGGGTTCTCGAAAATGGCACCATTTCGCATATTAAGTTTTGACATTGAGTGTGCTGGTCGTAAAGGCCTTTTTCCTGAGCCCACTCATGATCCTGTCATCCAGGTTATAGTGAATTCATCTTTTAATATATATTCACAGAACTAGCTCATGTTTGGCACCCATTCTCTATCTCATTCTCATTTTAATTTTTTATCTTCATTTCAACGACACATTCTTCCAATAAAATAATATTACACACAAATCTAAAACTTTCATAACTTTTCCACCACACATTCTCCCATCAATCACTATTCTAAAAATTTTTATCTTCAAAAAATGGGTGTCAAACACACCGCTAATTTAATATTGAATTATATGGTATGCTGCTGTCCTTGAGCTTTTGGTTGCTGACGCAAATTTTCTTATTTTTCAGGTTGCCAATCTGGTTACCTTGCAAGGAGAGGATCAGCCATTTGTTCGTAATGTGATGACCCTCAAGTCCTGCTCACCAATTGTTGGTGTTGATGTCATGTCATTTGAGACAGAAAAAGAAGTTTTATTAGCTTGGAGGGTAACATTTTTAGCATAAATTTTGTGCTTGGAAAAAAATCTTGTACCCTAAGCAAAATTATAGCAGATAGTGCCGTTTGTGCAATTCATTATTGTGCCTTTCAATTTTCTTCTGTGCTGGCCAGAAAGCATTCTCTTCATGACTTTGATTACGTGTTTCAGAAACCTTAGTTTTTAACTTCTGATACCTTTGTGTTGTTTTTACTTTCCAACGTATTTTATGTTAACATGATAATTACGACAGAGGGCAATGTTGGCAGAGATTCAGTAAAATTTAGTATGGGAAGGGATTTACCATATTTCCCTTGTCCTTGCTACTTGAATTGCACGCAAGCTTGTATTTTCAAAAAAAAAAAAGAAGAAAAAGAAAAAAGTGATGGGAAAGTTATAACCTTTTGTCCTTAAAAAAGGACGCTCTCCTTTTCATAACATGATGCAGCAGTGTTTTCCTTTCTTATATGCCACTGTGTAAGTAGCGCCTGATCTACTTGTGGAAACACATCCTTTCTGTTTTCGGTGACTTTTAATTTTTATTTTCAATGCAGGATTTTATTCGTGAAGTGGACCCAGATATTATAATTGGTTATAACATCTGCAAATTTGATTTGCCTTACCTCATTCAGGTGGAAAAATTACATCTTTGCTTTTCTGTCACTTTTGCTTCAATATTATTTCGGTATGCACCCCTGGGTTGACACAGAGAAAGGCATCATTATATGCAATTATTTTTAATGAAACCATTTACGTGTTTTCTGGTCTCAGAGGGCTGAGGTATTAGGTATAGCTGAATTTCCGATACTTGGACGCATCAGAAATAGCAGAGTCCGTGTCAAAGATACCACTTTTTCATCCAGGTCATATCATAATTTTGCTTTCAGTTGGTCATGCTTACTGTTGTGAAAAGCGTCATCTTTTTCTATTTTCTTCACTCTTAAAATTATTCCTATTTCTCATAGCTTTTGCTCAAACTACTGCATTTATTTGTACAATGAGAATTGAGACTGTTTCATCTTCAAAACTTTGTCAACGCTAATCACCACAATAAAGAATGAAGTGTAACATGATATTATCAAGAACTCTTGCTGATGCTGAACCTTTTCGCAACCAACATATGAGACTTGAACACAACTTGAATGAAGATAAGAGAGGGTAGCATCTCTGCCAGTTTAAGGCCTCTTGACCTCTAAAAGAAGCCTTTTCCCCTACTATTTTTCATTGGAGATTATTGTTGAAGAAATTTGTCTATAACCACAACTTTGGCCATACTTTGATATTAACACTTAATGGAGTTCCTTGCCTTATAATTTGTTGGGAAGTTGACTGATCCATGCTCGTGGAGCTGCAGACAATTAGGGACTCGGGAAAGTAAGGAAGTTACGGTGGAAGGGAGAGTTCAATTTGATCTGCTTCAGGTTTTCTCTTTTTTATCCTTTTACATGGAACTGTATTTGATGATATTGGGATGTCTTTCTGAATGATCCAAAACATCTTCTGGATGTCTTACTCTTGCATCCACAATCCTTATGGTTAATTACCCTTTTTCCTATCTTTTTTGTGCAGGTAATGCAGAGGGATTACAAACTAAGTTCTTATTCACTAAATTCTGTGTCAGCACACTTTCTTAACGAGCAGGTGGGCCTTTACTTTTCTTAAATTCTTTAAGAGGCAAAATTCCCGATATTGGATTCTGAAATAATGCTGGAATTTGAATAATTTTTGTTATTGACAACTGTCTTGTCCAAGTTAAGACTTATTTGCTGTTAATAACTCTTTCAGCTTCTTTTGCAAGTGTTAGTCAGACGAGTTTTACTGTTCTGCCTATGTCTAGATGTGGATTCGATATCCTTACTTAACCTTGCTTTTATTGCATCATCCTGACTTAGTCTTCTAGTAAGCCATTATGCACATGATCTGCTGCATTTACTATTGTATTTTAGTTTCATAACGTGATAGGATCATCAGCTTTTATAAGGGTAAGATAACACGCTAGAAAAATTATCAGAGCACCTTGCATATACTTTGATATTAGAAAAAGGAGAGTTATATGTAAATCTTCAAGAAGAATAACAAGTGTGCATTTTCTATACATTAGAGGAATATTTTTAGTTTTGTAAATGAAGGATTATTGGATGAATGATCAGGTGGGAAAAAAAGCTTTATCTCTCTTGCAATTTTTATTTATTTTGCTGGATCTTGAGGTATTTGAGAAAGGCAGAAAAATACCATGCTTACGTATGTATTCCGGAAAGAGAAATAGGAAAAGTAACTCGTGCAAAAAATAAATCACTTAGTACGCAGATATTGTGTCCTGAATTCTGCTGGATAATTAATAATATTATATCGAAATGATGAGTTGTCACGAGATACAAGTGGTGCTGCTTGAGTGTCATTTATCATAATGTCCAAATTGCCTGTCATTTCATTTTGCCATGTTACGACGCATTGATATTTTTCTTTGCCTTATCCCACAATTTTACATGTTCCATGGAGTTGCCTTCTTTTCTAACTAATTCTGTTTAATATGCATGCAGAAAGAGGATGTCCATCATTCAATAATATCTGACCTTCAGAATGGGAACTCAGAAACTAGGAGGCGTCTTGCTGTTTACTGTTTGAAGGTACAAGATATCTCCAAGCAAGTGCAATAGTCTGGCTATTAAGTAGCGTGAAATTTTTTTCTTGCCAATGAAGAAGGAATATAGAAAACATAGCTTGCTCCTTTTTTCTCATTCTCCATTTAATTAGTTCATGAATAAATCTAGTTTGGTGGTAGTAAGGGGACATTGATAGTTGAACCTTAAAACAGTGCTGATAAGAAAAAAATAATCTGACAGGAAAATTCGGTTTAACTATTTATGTATGGGTACTGAATGTAATAAACATGTTCAGGATGCTTACCTTCCACAACGGCTTTTGGATAAGTTGATGTTCGTTTACAACTATGTGGAGATGGCTCGAGTCACAGGTGTTCCCATTTCGTTTCTACTATCCAGGGGGCAGAGCATTAAGGTTATTGCATAAATTTACTACGACCGAGTTGTGATCAGTTTGTGGGTTGTAGGCAGCTGGGAATCTTATAAATGACCATTACCTTCAGGTTCTTTCTCAGCTTCTACGGAAAGCAAAACAGAAGAATCTTGTTATTCCAAATGCCAAACATGCTGGATCCGAACAGGGAACTTTTGAGGGTGCAACTGTAAGTGATAATGTTCTTGTCTAGACATAGAAACTTTACAAAGATCTTACTTTCAACGTCCTACTCTGTTTAGCCTATTGTTGTTAGATAGTGTTCATCTGAAATTTTAATGCTTGTATAGTTGGATCCACATTCAGGATGACAGTAATTTTGGATTTTTTCCCTCAAAAAGCTACTTAACATTGATTCCTTCCTACTCAATGTGATTAACTGGGCACTTATACCAAGTAACAGTGAGAACCTGTCTGACCAATGTCCTTGGCAACAGAGTTGAGCATTTTCAATTGACCAGAATGCTTAAGCCCATGTTGTCATGTAGGAGCTGTCCAAGAACTTATAATCATTTACATAATCCCTACCCTACTGCTGGTGGTCAAGGCATTGCGGTAATAATGCTCTAACATCTTTATTCATTTACTTTAGATATCAACTATTCGAGGTGAAAGAAATCCTAGCTTTGGTGTACTAACCTCTCGGGAAGATGATTACTCTGAGCAAGGGCTGACCATTTAAAGGGATTAGCTTGAAGCTTCTAACATATTTGTATTGGAGGTTTCTTAAACATTAGTGTAAAAGTTGTTACATATGCCATTCAATGCATGCATAGTTGAATTCTGTAAGTTTATAGCAATAAGCAGCAATAAAATTGTGTGAGCATCTAATTCGTTTTACATGTGATTAGTATAAGACGTTTTATTGAGGAATTAGCTGTCATCCTTCATTAATTGTTTTTTGAGTCATATGAGTTATACCCAGGTGATAAGCAGAGCATTGTGTGGTGTGAATGTTTCATGTTATTCAGTATACTTCTTGCTTGTAATTTATATATCCAATTAAAAGAAAAAACCAGATAGCTTTTTGTTTTGTCAACTCTGAAATTCTAAAAAACACAGGATTTTTTATTTAGCAGTCCCTTGCATTTTACGGGTGCTGTGTGGGGAAGGAAACGTGATAATTACTTAGGCCGTGGAAAGGAAATGCAAGGGTTAAAAGTTGAATTTGTGAATGTGTTCCTTTTCTTGAAGTCTTGAAAAGTACCCCGGTCATTGTAATATTCTCTTGCTTTCTGTGTTGTGGGCTGTGTATAGTTCCTTAACTGTCTCTGTAAGTGGGCTGCTCCTCTTCTGTGAATAAGCATTGAAATCTTTGCTTACTAAAAGGATTCATAGTGCAGGTTCTGGAGGCAAGGGCGGGATTCTACGAGAAGCCTATTGCAACACTGGATTTTGCATCTCTATACCCATCCATTATGATGGCATATAACCTGTGTTATTGCACACTGGTGAATATTCTTCACTACATGCACCTTTTCTTTTGAAGTGAACCACTGATTTTGGGAGTTGAGAAGATACAACATTATCAAAATAATTGTCTCCCCTGAGATGCTTGTGATTGAAATTGCAAATATTTCCATTTCTTGATGATTATTGCATAGGTAACTCCAGAAGATGTCCGGAAACTTAATCTGCCTCCAGAATGTGTTAATAGAACTCCATCTGGTGAAACATTTGTCAAATCGAATTTACAGAAGGTCAATTTTTGTCTTTAGATTCTATTATTTATTGTATGCACGTGCAAAAGTCATAGTTCAGATATTGTGTAAATTTCTCTTCAGGGAATACTTCCAGAAATTCTTGAAGAACTTTTGGCTGCTCGTAGAAGGGCTAAAGCAGATTTGAAGGTGCTCAAGTTATTCATTCTCGTAGTGTTGTCTGATATTTGTTTCGATATTTCTCGTCTGAAATATTTTTTCTTCTCCAAAGTTACCCGCTATATGCTGCATCCTGTTTTGAATGAGAACAGTTTTCTATATTAACTGTGATTCGATTTTAGGAAGCAAAGGATCCTCTTGAGAAAGCCGTTTTAGATGGTCGTCAACTGGCTTTGAAGGTATTCTTTTGCACTATTAAATAAAGACTATTTTTATGGATTAATATATTTTTGTTCTGTAGTGACTAATTTAGAATTGCCTTCATATGAAGTACACTAGCAACGATCTGAGGAGTTTGATATTTGCTGGTTTTTCAGATAAGTGCAAATTCTGTATACGGGTTTACAGGAGCTACAGTTGGTCAATTACCTTGTTTAGAGATATCTTCAAGTGTTACCAGCTACGGTAACAGATCTTTCTGAAAAGCCTAGCATCCTTCTGCATAATTCAAATTATCTTCTTCTAATTTGTATAAAAGTTGCGCAATGCTTCAAAAAAATTTTGATCTGATGAATTGGCCTTCTTTCCAAAGGTCGACAGATGATTGAGCACACGAAAAAACTTGTGGAAGATAAATTCACCATTCTTGGAGGCTATGAGCACAATGCTGAGGTATGGCAAGTCAGAGAATTATACTTGGAAAGTTATCTTGTTGCTATAATTTCTTGTGGTTAACCAGTAAAATGGACTAGAATATGCCTGAGTATATTTGTTTAGGACAATAGAGTACGTCTGTATTTTAGATTATAATGGAATCTGGCGTAAGCTAGTAGGTGGTTATTATTCTGATCCATAGCTTTCCCAGGACAAAAGGCCTTTGAAAGTAATACCATTCTTTTCAATTCTCTTCGCATCGATAGACGTATCTTACATTGTAAAATATCAATTTTTTAAAAATTTTTTTCTGCATAAAGTTTATGCCCACCACCAGCCCTAGGTCATTTAGTTTCTTGTCTATATGCCATCTTTACTCCTATGTCTTCTGTAATCCATAGACTCCTACCACATTTTTTTGGTCACAGATCATGGTGTGATCCCTCCTTACATCACGATAATTTTGTCATGACAGATCATATATGGAGATACAGATTCAGTTATGGTGCAGTTTGGTGTGTCCTCAGTGGAAGAAGCCATGAACTTGGGAAGAGAAGCTGCTGGCTACATTAGTGGTACATTCATCAAGGTAAGTGACATAAAACTGGAAAGAGAATGAGAGAGAAAAAGAACAGATAACAAGATTTGGGAATTTGCTAGAGAAATTAAGAGGAAATTCATATCACTCATAGTATCAATATTATTCAATATTTATACTTAAAAGTTCCTGACAAAAATGGATATGAAATGAAAAAATTCCCTAACTTAAAACTTATAATTTATACAAGAAAATAAATCAAAATATGTTTTTATTTTTGAGCGTAGAATAAGTATGTGGGCGTGCGTATTTTATTTTATTTTTTGTTTGGTCAAGATAAGTGTTTGTGTTTGGTAAGTCTCCTGTGCAATCTCCATAAGTTATAGTAGAAGTTTGTGTTTCCCTTCATAGGGCACCCAGCTTTTGTGTTTCCCTTTTTAGGGCACCTTAGCTATCACTTGTCTCCAGATATTTTTAAATCTAAGAAGCTGGAAGAGCATCTAAGAGTTGTTGCTCAATATATTTTTATCAATTCTCTGTGGGGGGATAGTGTGAATGGTTTACATGGACTTTGTAAAATTAAGCATTTGGATCAGTTGGCTAGTGTGCAACTACTTTGGTAGTGCAGGGGTTCTACCTTGGTCCTTACAGGTGTATCAGAGCCTCCATCGTGGTACTATCCACTTAGCTGAGCTTCAAATGTTTTGTGCATGCAATACATAATGGGTTAGATATGGCCAGGATGTAGCATATTTAAGTGAAGGAAAATGTAACTCTGCATGCACTTGGCTTGTGGGAGGATAGTGTGATAGGTTTACAAGGACTTTGCCATTTTGCCTGTCGATATATGTTAAATCAGTTTACGTCAGCCAATCTGAGACTCAACTATGTTTACAGGGCAATGAGTGTGACAGGGTCCTTGCACAAAATTATAATGTTTGTTGCCAAGTCTGCACTTTTAGTGTGTGATCTGCTAATTATTAATCCAGACAAACCAATCCATTTATTTTGTCTATTATTTTCTGTATTTTGATAATTACATATTATGTAGTTGCAAAAGATATTATTTCATTGAAACGTTTCAGTAGATTTAGTGGTGGATCAAGTGGAGTGGTAAAAAGGATTCATGTAGCCAATTGCATGCTTATTGGAAATAAGGCTTAGTTTGTTGTTGGATGATGACATATACAAAATCTAATTACATATTTCCTCACCTACCGTCAACCATGTATGCATGGACTCCTATCTTTCCTTTATCTACTGCTGCCTTTATATACCCACTAATACAGCATGGGTTATAGTTTTATTTTTTATTTCATCTTAGTAGAGTATGGACTGAGTTGATTCAAAATGGGGAACATCGGAGAAGTGGTTTAGAGTGTAATGCTCTAACATTTTCTAAATATTCAATTAACTTTTAGCTTAATCGAGCCTTTTGCATTTGGAGTTTGCTTCTTTTTTACATAGTATCTTTCTAAATTCACTGTCATATTATTTATTTATTCAGCTTAATCAAGCTCTTGTTTAAAGATCTCTTTCTCCATTTACTATGTTAAGTCAGCTCTCTGAACTAATAACTTACCTTGTTAACACCAGATTCATCAAGTTCTATGCACGTGAAGCTCTCTGTTTTTTTTCCCCAAATCTTCTTGCCCTCCCCCCTCTTTTTCCCTGCCCTTGTTCTATGTCCTTTTTTCTTATCACACTGGTGTGATCTGTTTCCTTTACAGCCAATCAAACTTGAGTTTGAGAAGGTTTACTATCCATATCTATTGATTAGTAAGAAGAGGTATGCTGGTCTCTACTGGACAAACCCAAACAAATTTGACAAAATGGACACCAAAGGTGAGCCAGCCTTTCGACCTTTTCAAGGAATTTTCATGTTACCTTGTTTGTTCTGTTTGTCCCCATTAATTATGTCATGAATACCATTCATTTAACTTACTTATTAGGATTATCTGTTTGTATTCTTATTGATTTTGAATTTCTCTTTTAATAGGGATTGAAACAGTTCGAAGGGATAACTGTTTGCTGGTCAAGAACCTGGTAAATGAATGCCTTCACAAAATACTCATAGACAGAGATATTCCTGGTGCTGTTCAGTATGTCAAAAACACCATCTCAGATCTTCTTATGAATCGCATGGATTTATCTCTTTTAGTTATTACTAAGGTAGGAACTAGTTTTGATTAAGGTTATTGGCTGCTTATTACTCTCCTATATTCATTTTCTTGCACTAACATTTCCAGCTTAATAGGGTCTTACAAAAACTGGAGATGATTATGAAGTTAAAGCAGCACATGTTGAGCTTGCGGAACGGATGCGCAAGGTCTGAAGAGTTTATTTCTCTGATTGTTAATCATGACAAACAGCACATACTTAATGAAATATTATACTTGTTAGCTTGATAAAACAACAATTTAAATTTATCATGTTCAACTTTGAGAATTGTCTGGAATGCACTATAAGAAGCATGAAATTGCAGTTCAACATTCCTTTTCCAAATGGCATATAATGCTCTCATTTTTGAGTTTTCAATTGCAGTTCCATGTACTTGGTAAGAGTACAGAGTTTCATTTTTCTTTTTTGGGGAGTGACAAAAAGGTGTAGAAATATGGAGTTTCTAGTAGATTCCTCAGCATATCTTTTCGCAAGCCAAAATGCTTCTTATATAGGGTGGGGGGTTTGAGCCCCACTTTTTTTTTTGGGTGGTTAAAAAGTAGAGAAAAGTTTTGGGTTTACGTGTAAAATTATTTTATTGGGAGAATATGTGGTTGAAAATGAGATTGAGGAAAAATGAATTTTTGGAAAATGGGCTCATACAGTAGCGTAATATACTGCAAAGTGCAACTTGTGCAAAATTCTGGGATCTTTTTCACTTGACTTGATCCTGCAGTGGACCTACTATTTATGTTAAAAACCAATTGGCACGGTATCTAAACAGATTGCTAGAAGAAACTTATCCAAGTTATCCTATTTAACTATACGGAGCATGGTTTGTGGTCCTAGCGTTTCTCTTGTATGTCTTATTATGCACTCTGTTCAGGATCATGTTACGGAGATAATTGTCCTTTCTTCAGTATCTTGTGTCGGGTCTTCATTTAAGTTAGTAGTCAATAACAAGTTAGTGTTGATTGTTCTATATAAATGTTCCATTGGAATACAGATTGAACTCTCTTATGACTTTAATTTAGGATAGTTAAATGTTTTGCTGCTCCGTCCACAGTATTTTTAATAATATCAATATTATAACAATTTTTTATTAACAGCGAGACGCTGCTACCGCTCCAAATGTCGGGGATCGAGTACCTTATGTCATTATTAAAGCTGCGAAAGGTGCCAAGGTAATTTTTTGTTATTTTACACGATAACTTTATTGCACTTAATATTAGTGTTCACATTGCTAATTTAACTGATGACAAACAGGCTTATGAAAAATCAGAGGATCCCATTTATGTGTTAGAACACAACATACCTATAGACCCTCACTATTACCTCGAAAATCAAATTAGCAAGGTTTGTGAGGCAATTTATGCTGTTATTTTTGGTTTACTTGTACTCCTTGCTTGCTATTAATAATACTGTCATTTTCAGCCACTTCTAAGGATCTTTGAACCCATCTTGAAGAATGCTAGTAAAGAGCTTCTCCAGGGGAGTCACACAAGATCCATTTCTATCTCTACTCCTTCAAACAGTGGCATAATGAGATTCGCTAAAAAACAACTAACTTGCATCGGATGCAAAGCTTTAATCAGGTAGAGAACATTTCCTGTTTTAACACATAAGCTCTGCACTAGATTCAACATGCTATAGATTCCTTCTTTGATGTGTAGGTACTTCCTCCTTTCTTCTTTGTGTAAGCACGTGTTAAATTGACTCGTTCACGGGTATGATGGACAGCAATATTTTGGAAAAGTAAATTGACTCGTTCATGGGTATGGTGAACAGCAATAATTTGAAAAAGGCTTGCATTTAAAAGAAATATTGCTATTTATGCTTATTTTTCAACTATTTTCATTTCCTTCCCTTAAAAAGGAAAGAAAAGAAAAAATTAAAATAACCCACTAGAATGAACTGGATAAAAAAAAGTCACAACAGTAGCTCCAGTACTCGAGCCAATAACTCTGATAGTGTATTGACCATTCTTCTGCCTTCAACCAGCAATTCTGATCATACTCTCTGCCCGCACTGCAAAGGAAGAGAGGCTGAACTTTATTGCAAGTCTGTAGCTAATGGTATGCAAGAAATTCCTTTACTTTTCAAGTACATTGGCCTATCCTCAAAGAACTTTCAAACTACTTGATAACTATTAAACATGTGTTTTTTAAGTTGCTGAGTTGGAGCAGCTCTTTGGGAGGCTATGGACACAATGCCAGGAGTGCCAAGTCTCTCTTCACCAGGATGTGTTGTGCACTAGGTTAGATGTGTGATCTATCGACTTGGTTTTGTATACGTACTTACGAGTTTCATATTGTTTGCATATTTTACATTGTATCGAGGTGTTACAAGAAAAGAGGTCCTAATCCACGTTGTCTACCCTCTATTATATCCTTGCTTCTCTTGTATCTTAAAAGAAAAGGAGGGGCAAGAGTTAAAAACAAAATAGAACCAAAAGAAAAGAGGACGTGCATGGTATTTTGAATTCGAACTTGAATGTGGTTGGCTTCCCCTTGTTACTTTACCTATGAAACTATTGGGATGTTGAGTACCCAAATATGGCCACTGGTTTTTAGTTGTACTATAATATTTGCAATGTTGAGTACCCAATATTTTTAGTTGTACTCTAATATTTGCATACTGCTAAGTCAATTCTAATGGATGCAATATTTTTTTCAGTCGAGATTGCCCAATATTTTATCGAAGGAAAAAAGCACAGAAAGACATGGCTGAAGCCAAGCTTCAATTGGATCGATGGAACTTCTGATCCACTACGAAGGTTGTTTTGCTCTATGAAATAATAGATGCCGATTGTATAGTTCCAGCTCCGAAAAGCAGTTAGGGACGGGATGAAAAGCTGAATCTGAATGCATCCAAAAAGCAGTTAGGGATGGGTGATATTTCATCTCGTGGATGGTTTGTGTTGGCCTGATGGGTCTTAATGCCTTAATCACCACTGCCAGTGAATATTTTCTGACGATGAAATGCAACGTAATGATTAGAAGGATCGGTGAAGGAAGGAACGGTTGGCATATTTCCACGATCCAGCTCCTGGTTGCGAATGTTGAGTTGTTGATTGATGGGGTCAATCGTCATCCAGTGAGACAGTTCAGATACAGTTTCTAGTGTATCAAGCTTGCAGGTAGCAAGCCTGTTTTGTGAAAGATTTGTTCAGGATTTGGGTTTGAGTTGTTTTAAAGTTGCATTAGCTTTAACTCTTATGAAACAAAAAAAATTCTAACAATGTAAAATTGCCAACTTGAGCATATAAAGTACCTCAAATGTCTCAAGCACAATAATGTGTAGGAATGAAACACTTGTACAATACATTATATCCATATAACAGTGAACCTTTACATCTTTGCTTGTATTGAACTGATGTCAGGCTTTGCAGATAAGGACCTCCGGCTATTTGTATAACTAAGAAGAATGAACATAATAAAGTAAAATAGCATTGGCAATAACACAGATAGAAGCATCGACCCTTCACTTTCCTATAGGATTCAATTTAAATTGGTTGACCTTTGTTTACATCTTCAAGCTACAACCTCGACCTAGTCAAGAATATAGTCTTAGTCGAGTAGTTATGGGCTGACGGCATAAATGGCATGATGATATGGAGTTGCCACAATCCTTGCATATCTGTAATTTCAGAACAAAATTAAAAGATGAAGATACTATATATGATACAACAAAATATTATGATCTTGTTAAGAAAACCCTTGTGAAGAACAGAAATTTTACTCCTACAAATGACTCAAATGTATACGCAAATTCAAGTTTAGATGCTAAAATTTGTGCAAGTGGATGGAGATGCTTACCAGATGACCGCATCCAAAAGCCATGTCCTTGGGATTTGTCAAGCAGATTGGGCATACCTTGAAATAACAAAGTAATCTTCAAACCCATGAATACATAAAACATGATAAGAGTCTAACTGAGGGTGAAAGATCACTTACTTGCTCGGCTGATGGTCCTGACTCAACTGGTTCAGAGATTTGTGCACGTGGGAGTGATCTAATGGCATTGTCATGATCTATAACTTCCCGTGGAGGAGGGAGTGGTGGCCTTGTCGGAGAACTAACATCGTATTTACTGAACAAGAAACATAGTTACAAATTTCCACTTCATCTTTAGATGGATCAAAGTAGTAGACAGGTTTATACAGGAGAGGAGGAATTGACATCTAGCACAATTAAACTCTTGGATCCAAACATAAGCAACATAAATTTAGAGGGTTGGCATTATTAGTAGAAATGGGATTCCGAGCAACTTGAAACTATAGGAAGGACCTGATCTCAACTTCTTAGATTTATTAGCACATGAAAGGCTTAGAAAGGGGCAGGAGAATCGGGACGAATAGAACATAATAGAACCAATTATAATCCCTAAGCACCAAATAAAATGGCCAAAGTTTTGAAGGAGCGATGACACCTTAGTTACTAGTAGTTTCAATACAATTTTGCAAGAAAACAGAATATCTTGGTCTTACTCTTTAGGTTGTAGCTTTAATGTTGCTTTATATTGCAAAGGAATTTCCATTAGAGCAGCAAGTGCAAAAGCGGTTTCCTTTTTGGCCATATCTGTGTGCTCAGACATGATTTTCGTGAAGTTGACAAACTGCAAGGCACCGTGTAGAATATTAAAACTAAGGAAAAAAATAGAATATATTTATGATTTCCACTTCGTTTCGCGGAAGAGTCAAGCCTGAAAAATTCAACCAGTTTATTTTTCAACAAAGATAACTTGGTGCATACACACACATGAAAAAGAAGAAGATAAAATTAAAGAGGGTCTTTTCATTTGAAAACATACTGTTGAGTTAATCTTAGTTTTTTTTTAAAAAAAAAAATTAATAATAAATGAATCGAATTTCATGATGAATCAATTGTCACCTGCTTTAGATTGGAAAAAGAAATTCTCAAATTAGATAGTGACGAAGCGGTACTTAAAGAATGCCAGACATCAAATACATTGCAAAGTTCGAATTCCTTCAAAAAATCACTACACTAAGAAATTACTGTACAAAAGTTAAAAATTTACAAGATGTCAACACGAGTATTACTAGGAAAGACAGTTAATTGACACAGATAACCTCCAAATATAAGATGTAATATAAAGTTTTATGGAATAATTCTGTACCTGGAAATTGTCAAATGCACGTTGAGGAATGTTATCGTCAAATTCTTGCATAGCATCCCAGGGTCCGTCCCCCACACCAACAAGAATAATTGAGAGTGGATATTCACTGTATATTACATGCCACAGATTATATCAGCGAGGAGCTGAGGACCATGCTATGATAATTCGACTTATCGTAACCTTTTTACCTTGCAGCAACTATAGAATCGACAGTTGCTTGTTCTTGAGGACTAAACTTTCCAGTTGGTGTATCAGTACTTCTAGTGACCTAAATCCACATTACAAGATGATTAAAAGTAAAAATTCAGAAAATAGTTTTCTGATGAGAGAAGACTTCAAACAGAAGATATAACTAATGGTCAAAATGGATATAAGAACCTGTCCATCTGCAATGATAACGAGTACATGATACTGCCAATTGCTTTTTTCCACAATATCAACTGCAGCATCAACTATTGGTGCAAATGAGGTTGGACCTACCATAAAGAAGAGATAAAAGGAAAATATAATATTAGGATATATAATTTCTGAACTACCATCAAGAACATAGGAGAAAACTGAATGAACAAAAGAAAGCCCTCTGTTCTTGTCTGACTAACGATACCTTCTTCTTTTTTTTTTTTTTCTGGAATTTCAGTTCTAGACGGTACCTTTAAAAACAATCACCACTTGCTTGCTTGCTGTTTGACACTTAGAGTTTTTCAAAATTTGTTATAAACTAGACATCTGGTGCTTCAAAAGTTATTCGTTACTTAACCTCTATTAATGCTGCTTGTTGAGTTGATCTACGATCAAATTATGATTTATGATAGCCTTGTGAAACAAGAAGATTCTTACATCCGTCAGACGATTCATCAAGAGATTTTTTAATGTTATCCTTCTAAAAATTTACTTCAGGTCTAACGTTTATGTGCAACACTACACATAAATTTATAAAACCATAAATCTAGGCATGGAAAATAATTATATGATTACTGATGTTGGTTTGATATCCAAAATCTGCTCTATTGAAATTTCCATGTTAAATAAAACATCTTCGCAATCAGAAAGTGCTCCATTTAGCAATCATTGTATGAAAAGTGACATGCATGTTAAGTATATCAATCTACTAGGCTGACTAAGAATTTAGTTTGAAAAATAAAATGCACAGAGGGAAAGATATTAGCTTTCACCAAATGGAAATGAATCTTTTTACCAATGCTAATAGCATTCTAACAATCTCATAACCGTTTCAAATTGATTGTACTAAATGAAAATAGACGGAAAGAGAAAACCAAAACCTGATAAGTGCAGATATGGAACAATTTCTTTATATCGTCTGAGAACTTCCTCAAATCCATTGCAAGGTCGATAATCAGCAGAAAAGCTGAAAACATGCTGATCATGCGTTGTGGCTGGAGGGAAAAAAATGATCTGATTATCAATCTTAGTAAATTGCATCACAAAATTTATGATATGACAATGTGAAGACTAACCATCACCAAATCCAAAACAAGGTATTAAATTATCCTCATCGAACGGAGATAAAGTTTGTCCAATGATAGAAATGGCTTGCTCATATGGATTTGGCGTGTTTCCAATTGCATGGAGGCTTCTCCTGTGAAATGATAACTTTCCTACAAACACGGATAAGTCAGATGATCCTCCCACTAATCAAGCATCCCAAAAATAAGCAATTTTTTTTATTCACCTGTCCATTCGTTGCTCTTGGTAAAATCAATACCAATAATTAAGTTGGATGATTCGAGGCCTGCTTCTCTTAGAGCATTGATAACCTGGCAGCACAATAATCAGGAAACTTGATGAAATACTCCAAAGTTAGCAACAGCTTAAGAATACATCTGAGTGTCTAAAATGATTTTTTTAGTCCCTCTTTACTTTGTGACCACTTACCCTTTAAAACATAGAAATCTTGTCAAGTGATGCTTGACTCGATATCAAGCAGTTCTGGACACGAAGTCAAACACCACTTAATAGTTGAAGTTTTTTCACTCTTTCATATAGTTGGGCATTTCACTTGGAAAAGAAGATGTACCATACTAACGGATTCAGGTCCATGAACATGAGCAAATTCTTCCTTTTCCCGAATTTACATTTACATGACCCAAATAGTTGTGTTTACGAGAAGACACATTTTTATAAATTAATTTTTTTAAAAAATATTGTGCTTCACTCAAAATGGCTCCAAATTACCCGCTTTGAATGAAAAAAATTTGTGCTTGACAGTAGAACAGCTCCATAAACATGTTGGAAACTTTAGAAATGTCTCTCTAACCTAACATATTGGTATGTTTTTCTAGTTCCAGGCACCCAGAGTCAAAGCCATTTGGAACTTTAGAAGTGAGGCTCATACGAGCTAAGGAATTAGAAAATATAGATGTTGTCGGTAAATCTAATCGCTTTGTTGTGATATTTGTTCGTCCACTAGGGACGGAATGAAAATTGGCAAAACAATTGTAAGACATAATACATTCTTTTGATTTGTAACTTTTTATAATCATATATGTATGGATAGCTTACCTTCCTTACTTGTAAGTAAAAAAATTACTTCTTTTAAAGTAACTCTTCCTTAGTCAAAATAAATAACTTACCTATTTTCTTCTTCCAGTAATATACTTAAAAGTAGACTTTTTAAGATTAGGTAAACAAGCTCACGCCTCATGGTCCCTAACATGAGAATGTCTCATTAATGAAGGTATAGCCTACCTCTTCCAAAGAGCTGAAGTTATCGGCTATGGACGATGAATGTTGCTTATTCCCATAGTTAGTGTTTTTTGAACTTCCAACATATGATGGGGGATAATGTTGATAACTACTGGTTGATGAATTTATTTCACGTTGTGGAGATTGATAACTAGTGTTCACCGAATATGATGGGGGATAATGTTGATAACTACTGGTTGATGAATTTCTTTCACGTTCTGGAGATTGATAACTGGTGTTCACCGAATATCCTGCATATGAAGTGGTCTGACGTGGAAAATTATCATGGGTTTCATCTTGTGACGATTCACTGTTACCCATTATCTAGAGGTATTTTTACTTCAATCACAAAATAGTTCTGCATAGACAATATTAGAGGATTATATGAGCTTCCCACGCCAAAAAAATAAATTATATTACAAATATGCATAAAAGAGTCGATGCTTTCTTCAATGGAAGGAAGAAAAGAAAAATGAAATAGAAACTTGAAATTAAATTTCTTCAGTTACTGCTGGCTCAATTGTTTTCATGGGAAGCAAACGTATGTTCACTAAATAAACTCCTGCCAATTACAAAATTTTATTCAACAGAAAGAACATATACCGGGAGCCAAATATTAGTACTTGTGCTAAATTGAATTCATAGTCATACTGCTTAAACTCCTAGCACCTATAAACAAAAACTGCACTAGATTCCCCACATCTGACAGACTGACACCATAAAAGGGCAAACAAGAATTAAAGAATCCCCTCCTGATTTTTCAGGTAACTTGCCATAAATAATCAATAATCCCATCACAGATGCACACAAAAATTCAAGAATATTGCTCACTGTATTCAAGAATCTTTCCTCAATACAAAGTCAACAGGAAACAGCCAAGAAATGCATATTCAGGATCCTATCTCTTGAAAGCTCAAAATAACATAATTTGTGCAAATAATTACATCTGTATATGCAGGTACAAACATATCAATAAAGAAAAAGATCAATATACCTGTTGATTGTTGGGTATGCAGGATAGAAAAGTTTCAGATATGGAATTCAGACAGTGAATCCGAAAAAGAGCAGTACATTGTGGGCTTTTTTGGTCATAATATGCTAGGAGAATTGCAGTCAATGGCTCATTTTATAGTTTCGTAGATGGTAGGCCGTAGGCACGTGCTTCATGTGACGTGCTCCATATTGTCCACCATTTGTTTATGGATCATGTTAGATGTACACCCGATGATTTACATAATAGATTATATTTCTCTTACATGAAGGAGAGCCTACGAATATTTTATTGTGTATGGGTTCCCCTCCATATGAAGGAGGTGTAATCTATTGTGTAACTCATTGTGTACACCTAACATAACTCTTTGTTTATACCAGAGAATTTGCCCGGTTCTCATTGTTTAGAAAAAAATAATAATAATAAAAATTGCACCAATTATGGGCTGCCAATAGCCCATCTGTAAAAAAATTGGGCACAATCATACGTACGAATGGAAAATTCCTTCATATATATTATTATTATATTGTAATTAATGTTTTATAACTTGGCTCAACCTTTGAATCGAGAAAGATCACTGGTCAAATTTGTTATGCATTATTTTTTATAAAAAATAATTTTTAAGTGAGAGATTTTTATTTTTTTTTGACAAAAAGAAATTAAAAATTCAAGCTTTTAGAATCTTCAATGGAAAGAAAAGAAAATGTGTTCCTTGACAAAATTATATTTGCGAAAGTCACGCTTTTCAGGTCAATTTGTTTAAAAAATAATTTTTAAGTGAGAGATTTTTTTTTTTTTTGACAAAAAGAAATTAAAAATTCAAGCTTTTAGAATCTTCAATGGAAAGAAAAGAAAATGTGTTCCTTGACAAAATTATATTTGCGAAAGTCACGCTTTTCAGGTCAATTTGTTTAAAGGGATTAACACTCTTAAATAATATAAAGAAATATAGGAATAAATGAATTTTAAAAAGGATCTTATGAATCATATTTATCGAAAAAAGCTTTAATAATTTGTAATAATCAATTTCTCTTGATAAAAAAATAAGGGAAGTAAGGAAATTACAAATCGTGTGATTGGTCTGTACAGATGAGCAAGCTCGAATCCAAAGCTTGAAAACGGTTTTCCTTTGGACATGGACGAACCATCTAACTCAATTTAACATTTTTGTAGTGTATTATGATTTTTTTTCTATGATTTATTAATTTGATGTTTGTGAGTAACATATCCAATCCAAAGCTTGCCAAGTTGTTGAAGAGTGTGATATCTCTAAATTAATATGATTCGGTGCGTAATAATTTATTAATTAATGGATAATATAAATTTGTATTACATCAATTTAAAAAAATAAAAATAAAAATCTCATGTATATTAATTCTCTCTCGCTAAAGCAGCGTGAAACAACGGTAGCCAATTATTTTAAGCACACAAGTCAGATAAACGAGAACTTGCATCTGTCATTGTTAAGCTTTCAATTCATCATTAAGCGCCTATTAATGACCTTTTAAATTTAAAAGAGGGGCAACAAATTGCCCTCGAGAGAATATTTAAAGATGCAGATCTAAGAGCCAATTCTGAGTCGCAGACCGTCGTGAAGAGGAGTTGAAGAAGATATGAATAATTAGGTTTTGATGCAGGAGGATTCGAGTCAGACGAGGTCGAGCTGTCTGATAGTACCTTAATGGCGCTGCGATACCATGAGTTGGCGGTTCAGCGCAACATTGGCAAATAATCATCGACCGATTCTAATTGGGGCAGTTTTTGGACACGTTTAGGTATTTTGGTCATAACTTTGGCTACGGTTGTCAGAATCACCCCCATGACCCCAATTCGGAAAACCCTTTTCGGCGCGCACATTGTGGTCACCCAGCTATGCTCGGTGTGCATTGGTTTCGAGGCCAAATCCAGCTGTTTTCCCTTCCAAATCATCAATTTAAGTTCTTTTTTACCATTTTTAGTAATATTTCGATTTCCTTTTTGACATAAATTACGATCTCAAATTAAGCAACATTTTTGGGATCTTATTTTCGTCATTACGTATTT